CAGGGAGCCATCAGAGACATGACAACATCCTCTTTCATGTCAGGCAGTAAAACAGAGAGCATGGATGCTAAATGTCATATGGCATATTTGGACATGAACGGAGGAACCAGTGCTTTGCCATCAGGAGTATCCAGAGGAGCTGGAACAGCTCTGTGGCAAGCAGGTCACAGCAGCTGATATTGGGCTTGAGAGGATCAGGTGGAATTTTGTGCTTGCTAAACTGAAATACAGTCATGAGGAAAAAAAAAGCAAAGGCTTAATGAAGAAAGAATGGGGCAGATTCACCAACAGGCAGTGAAAAGATCTGTAAGTAGGGAAAGGAAAAAGAGCACAATAGAGGCTGAAACACTCACGTTCTACGTTAAGCAATTTGTAAGGTTTTATTCTTTTGCATGTTGAGTGATACTGTGACTTCTTTTAAAGTTAGACTCTACTGGGTGATCTTTACAGCCTATACACGTGCTTAAGGAGAATGGAGTTTTCTGCTCCCTACAATATGAGCTATGGTAATGTTAATTGCTATAAAATATATTAAAGAAAAGTTAACTCACAAATTAAGTTTATGATGTAACGATCCAATGATTTTTTCCTTATTTTTCCCTCCTAAATGTCAGAGGAATTGCTCTGAAAACCACTTTAATCAGTTTCCTGCTTCTACAGTGGGATCAATTTCCTGGCTTGGAAATTGATCAGTTAGATGATGCAGATAATAAATGCATGAATAAATGAGTGGATGACAGAATCCACCAACGTAATTCAGATCCTGCACAATAATGGCACTCAGCTAAACACCACAGAAGCCCTGAAGTTTTCCATCTGCATATATTGTGGTTTTTTCCAATGGGTAGGATCTCGCAACTATCTGAAGTAAACGTTGTTCCAATGAAATCAATGAAGTTATATCAGTGAAAACCAGGTACGGATCAGGTCCAATATATATTTGGCAAAATGACTGACATGCATCTGGACCAAGAAAATTAATTACTGAATTCTTTTATTAAATTAAGACCTGAAAATTTGCCCATGAGCACATGTAAGCGTATGAAAATGACCAATGCAGTGAAAAAACACAGTGCCACAGATGTTGAGACCGATACACAAAAGCCATGGGTGTGTATTTACTTCACACAAACCATTTTGTGTACCTGAACGCTCATTCTTAATAAGTAAATATGGGGTCCCTTAACTTCATTTCAGAGAGAGGAACCCAGCTTGGTTTATGGATCTGGGTGAGAAAGTGACACCTATCACTTAACACAGCGTAGCTGATTTGCTCTCATTTCACATGCTGGCTTATCTCACAGCAACTTTTTATTAACTCAGTGCACCAGAAGGGCCAGGTGTGCTCAGAGAAGCACATGGACTGGGTGAGTGGAACAGAGTTGTGTGACAGTGTGTGTATCTTTCCCTTTTTCCACAGTTTGTCCAGGGACTCCAAGACCTACTCCAGCCCCCAAACCAGTATGCCTTGTTCCTGTACTGCTTTGTCATTATTCATGTTATCTATACAGTAAAAAAGCTGGCCTCCTACTTTTCACAAACTTATTAACTGTTCTGGTTTCCTATTGTGATTTTCCAGGATTACAAAAATAAGAAAAAATACTCTTAAAAAAGGCAGCATACTGTACACTTTTTGCCCATTTTCACTGCTTTTTATTATCTTTTCCTCACTACACCAATCATACATGCAGGATTTCAGCTACTGGTATATGCACAGTAGTCTAATTATGGAAGACTGATTTTCTCAAGAAAATAGTGACTGAATGACATCATTTGACTTCATGCTTTATCACCAACATGTTTGGCTTCATTCAGGGGCATTCATCTCTACAGGTAAAGTTGTCTGAAATAAGAAACAATTTGGAATATGTTCTTTCTATTTTATGTCACCTTCTTGGTGACTTGGTCTTACTTCGTTGGACTCAATCATCTTAAAAGTCCCTTCCAACCTAGACAATTTTATGATTCTATAATTGTACTTATAATAAAGCATCACAGAGAGGTTTCAGTGGTGGATTCATTAGGTGGAAGGAGGTGCTCAGGAGAAGTTCATATTCTGTTATGTGTTCACTACCAGGTGCTGGGCAGACACCTCACTCTGGATTAGGACTGTCTCTACCTTTGGGGTAGAAGCATTCCCTGCTGTGCTGTACCATCCTTTGCAGTTACACACAGTTTCTATCAGCAATAGACTAGCAAGCATTGGCAAACACACACCTTATTTGTAATTCAGGTGATTTCTGAAGTATCTGCACTGATTAGGAAAAATATCAAATGTAGCCCCAATAAAAAAAGTATTTTATCTAGTGAGAGCGAGAATGTGTCTAGACCCTTTTAACGCTATTTCAGCCAGGCAATAGAGGGTATTTCCAGCAGAGAAAAGGTAGAGAGTCATCTACCATATGGTATGGTAGATTAGAGTAAGTACAATCTTATCAACCTTCTACTGTTGTTAGAATCAGAGCATAATTCATGCTAATATCCCCGTGCACATGCCTTACTCTGTTTTATTTTAGTAAATCTTGTCTCATTCTCTTTGCATTGTGTTCTTAAGAAGAAAACAACCTAAATGGTATTTGACAATCAGGCTGGATACACAAAAAAACATGGTCAGGACGAAGTGGGGTGGTTTAATCCTACTCAGGTTATCCTGGATCCATTGTAAGTTTGACCTCAGTCAAGATGGTATTCTTTGAGCATGCTAGGGGCAATGCTACTTACAAGGCTGTCTGAATCCAGGCAGCAGAGAAAAGAGTATCTCGGATCCAGGTGTAAGGACTGGGTGGTTTCCTGACAGTGCAGAATGAGTGTAGAGCGTAGGGGCTTCTCGCATTTCCACAGCCTCTGCATTTCTGAAGCTGTGGAAGGTTACAAGGAGGGTCCACTCTGCATACACAGAAAAATCTGCCATTGAAATGGACAATGAGACAATCTTCCTGAAAGGAGATTTAACCAGTGCAGTTGCTTGCTATAGGTATGACCTACATATACAGATTTAGAGAACTAGACCAATCAAAAATAAGTGAATAAAAGCTTTATCCCAGCTGCAGTTCCTGTTTTTCCAGCAAAAGTGACCATTAGCTCCCACTGAAATTGCAAGCCTCCTCACCCACTTTAGGATTTCTGTGGAAGGCAGTGATTCGACTTTATTTTGTAAATGACCCAAGAGTAAGATCTGTAAATAAGCTTTCAAATCTGTGTTTTTCTCTCACTGAAATCTTAAGAATGTCACCCAGACAGCTGAGAGAAGCCTGACCTTTGTTTTCTGCTGAATCTGAAAGGCCTTCCTGTAGATAACCTGTATAGAAATACAGTTTGCAATAGCACAAGCAACTTCTCTTCATTGTTGGTAACTCTTTGGTTTTAATAAACAGGAGAGATTATATCAATCTGCATTTGATATTGTTAATTCAAATGACAACTAGAATTAGTCAGAGATGTGGGACCACTGGAAGTTCCAGAATACAGTGTCTGCACAGAAGCATTATTTTTAGTACTAGTTTAATGCTAACTTTTGGGGAGGGGCAGGAGGAGTTGGTAGCCTTTTGCATTTTATTTATTGTACATAGGAGATAATACTACATAGTCTCAAGACACCATACACACATATTCCAAACACAAATATATCCCCAAATCATAAAGTCAAGGAGAAAAATACGTTAGCCTTTCCTGATAGGTGCTCTCTAAGCCATTATATATACCCATGCTATACTTCTAAACTTATTCCCACATAGACGAGAGCTGGATTTTTTAAGTGGTGATTTCTGCGCAGCTGCCTAGCTTCCGGGAGCTTCAGCTCAAAAAAATTGTTGAAATACCATGAATCCATTGGCAAAATCATGAGAAGTAGCAATACAGAAAAGAACAGAAAAATCAAAGCTCCTCCCTAACTGCTTCAGGTCCTTCTGAGCTTTGATCAGCTCTTGCCCTTCACTGGGGTGACAAACACACCCTTCGAGTTGCCTTGCTGTGCCCTACACCCTTATTTTCCAACTGTAGGCACACTCATCGCAAAGTGTACGGTTTCATGAAAACCACAGGAAACTTGGTGGTTTCAGCTATTTTTAGCCTAAAAGTAGGCAATATTTCACAGCTGGTTTGATTTCAGGAGAACCACAGCAAGTGAAAAGAGCTCAGGGTTGTAGCATAAAGCTAAAGTTTCAGAAGCCACTACAAAGAGCCCTAAATTAACAAATAAAAATAATAATGTCATAATTCCCGTGGTTTTTGGCAGCTAACTTGTGATTTATCAGTACCTGAGTGGGGCATTACTGATCTTGACAAAACAAAACGTTTGCTCATTCACTTCCTAGGCAAGGCTACATTTCACAGCCTTTATTTGTCACTCTCCCAGAAGGAGACTTGCTGCACCAAACCAAGGGGCAACCCGAGAAGTGAAAGGAAGGCACCAACCCACTGGATAACCCAAACTTGTTTCGTGTTTAGCAGCTTCATTCTTGGGCCCCCTAGTTAGAAACATTTCTAAACTCGAAGCGGGGGTTTTTCAGAAGACTGCAAAGTCAGCTTTGTTGCAAAAAATTCACGGGCTCTTTTCAGTTAATTGATGACTCCAGACCTTTAGGTTTTGAGCCCAAGATGAGACCCTGCCTATATACGGGCTTAACAAACTTAATCAAAACTTTCTGTTTCTTTTTTCTTCTTTTTTTTCTTGCAGTGGGAAGCTCAGAAGAGGTGAGGAGGAGAAAGGCAGTGCACCACAAGATCGTGCACTCACTATTTCCAGCCCCAGCGCTGCAAAGCTCAGCAGCTCAAACCAGCCCCAGCTGAAGGCGATCAAGCTCATCAGCCAGACCTTTGGCTCCCGCCTCGGCACAGCTCCGACGAGAGGGACCCCGGCGCTGCTGGGACGCGGGACATCACAGCGTTTTCCACTCGCTGTCCCCTTCGGCTGCTCCCTTGGCTTGCCAGGAGCCCCGGGTGTCCCGGGACCGGCCGGGGAGCCGCGGCTCGGCGGCGGCAGGACAGCGGCGGCAGCCCCGCCCCGGCCCGGTCCTGCCCTCCCGTCCCCTCCTCTCCCGCCCCGGGGCAGGGCAGGCTGCTCTCGGGGGCAGGTGGAGAGCACGGGCAGTGCCAGCAAAGGGAAACCGTTCCTGGGAGCCTGGGACAAAGAGACCTTGGAGAGCTTCGGGACGAGGCAGGGGTGAGTGATACCGGCTTCACCACTGTGAAGTTAATTTTACTTCATTTTCGTCTGTGTAATCATCCCAGAAGAAGCATTACTCAGATAAGAAACTGGTAATAATTTGTGAAGAATGATTTAGAAATTGCAGTTAGGAGGGGTGAGGTGGGATGGAGAATAAGAAAGTGCCTTTGTTGAACTGCTGCTCAGCAGTACCTGTGAGCTCAGGTGTGCTCCCGGCCACCCTGAGCCTGGCAGCACGGGTGTGGGGAATGGGTGTCAGTAAAAGCAGATGGTGGGACTCCTGCACTCCTGGTTTTACAGAGCAGTTTGTCTGTGGCACAGAGTTAGGTGCAGTTCTGCTAGTTGTGTAAAGGGTTGCTGTTCCTGTGGGTTGGATGGTTTTGCTGCAAGTCATGTTGGAACTGGTTTAAAAGTTGGTACTACACTTGTTACCAGTCATGAGTAGCTAACTTCTAGGTATGCTGCATGTACTTGGGGTTCAGGCAAACTGGGGCAAAGAGACATTCAGGTCTTCTGATACCTTCTTTTAGATTAACATAAGCTTTGCTGGAGAAAAAGGGTTTAGGTTCTTCCTGCTGCCTTCAGCTTTATAAACTGTTTCATGGAATGAGATTGGCTCCCAGTTGCATTACTGTTATGAGAATGACTCCCCAGTGTGCAAAACTCAGGTGTAAAAAGTGTGTGGTTTTGTATGCAAGCAGCTCATCTTTCCCCCACAGTGGTGAGAGGTGAGGCCTAAATGGGTAAGTGCCTGCACCTGGGATGTCACCAATCACAGCCAGGTGTGGGCTCAGCCTCCTTGGAGGCACATCACACCATAAATCCCAGGCTTCTTATCATCTTCCATTTTATTTGCAAAGACCCAAACTCTTTGGCCTAAATTACAGTAATGTTCTTGAATTACTCTTTTGTCCGTGCTTTGGTTGTAAAAGGGCTGGCTTTCACACGTGTTGCATCTTTAAAAGCAACACACTGTACCTCTGCAGAGATGCACTGTGTCTGCATAAACAGCTGTGTTCTTGGCTTTTCTTAAAAAAAAAAAAAAAGTTTGTAGTACTGTTGTTAGGTTAATTAACTCTGCACTTTTTGGGATTCCTTTTTTCTTGTTTGGAGCTGGGGAACTATAGTTGCTTAGCTCTTTGTGGAGCTTCTTCCAAACTACTTGAAATATCCAGCCTTGGGTGGGTGTTACTGAAATGGGCATTTGGCTTCTTAAAAGCTATGATCTCTTGAGGTCTGTTGTTGCTTTATTGTTGTGAAGAGAATTTTAAAAGCCTGCCTTAGTGCTTTCTTCCAAGGCCCTTACCATGTAGATGTTGGGAAAGGGCAGATTTACACTGGATATTAGGAAAAAATTCTTTACTATGAGGGTGGTGAAGCACTGGAACAGGTTGCCCAGGGAGGTGGTTGAGGCCCCTTCCCTGGAGATATTCAAGGAGAGGCTCGACGAGGCCCTGGGCAACCTGGTCTAGTTGGGGGTGTCCCTGTTGACTGCGGGGAGGTCGGACTAGATGACCTTTGGAGGTGCCTTGTGCCCTGGACGATTCTATGATTCTACAGCCTGGTCCAACTTTCACTGAAACCAGTGACAATCATTCTGTTAACCTCAGTGGTAGCTGGGTTAGCTGTTCTGGCTTGCAAAAATACTCAAGAGTATTTCCACTGTAGAGGCTGATGGGATAGTACAGTTATAAAAGCCTCATTACCGCCACAAACCTTTCCAGGTATACGCACACTGGGCAGCAACTTTGATCTGAGTTGTTTGGTGTTTCCCATGGTGGTGTTCTGTTGGCAGCAGAAGCTGTTGGAATGTTTGTTTGGGGGATTTTTAGTACTTCAGTGAGGGAAGCAAGAAAATAGTAACTAATAGAATTTTAATTTCCATTAAGAAACCCTCTACCCCAGCATACTTCTTGTGTGTGTGTGTTCTGCTCCCAAAAGTCTTATTGCTGTTGTGAAACTTCTGATATCTTTGAGGGCTATACTTAATGGAGAAAAAAAAATTGAGTGTGTGACTTCTTTCACCAGCTTAGTGAAATCAATGAAAATTGAAGTGCAAACTTTAATGAAATTGGTCACCAGCATGAACAAAAATGGCTTCATGTGAATACTTCTGAGAGAGGGTTGGAGAAAAAGGATGAGGTGTATCTCTAAGATGCTTAGGGTGATTCTGGTTGAAGGAACAAAATTCACTGGACTCCAGTTTCTCCGACTGGGGTGCATGTGTCTGTGGGCTTTGCCACCTGTAAGGCAGAAGTAGATGAATCTCACAGGTGCTGAGTGTGATGGTGTGCAGCTGGAGTAAGGGCCCCAGCAGGACATTCATGTAAATGAATCAAGATCTTGTTACTTAGATGAAGTGGTACCATGCTCACAGCTGTTCCTCCATCCCTAATTTGGTGTTTTCTCCAGTGCTCCTGAAGGGCAGCCTGCCTCTGTCCCCTGTCTGCTCTGATACAAGCACTGGGTCCCTGAAGCCCTGGGTGCTGCTTCCTGCACATCAGCTGGTGGCTCTGCCTTTAGTGTAAGTAGAGATAAATGGCCTGTAGGACTTGGGTTATTTCCAGCCAGGCTGTCTTCTGAGTGCTGAGGGTAACCACTCAAAATATGGTGTCTCTCCAAGGCCTGGGAACCACCACCAATCAGCTGGTGCTTAGGCTGGAAGTGCTGGTATCAAAATGATGTGTCTAAAGCATGGAGGGGTTGGAAGCAGTGGGAATTAGTATAAAGTTTTGCGTCTTCGTAGAAACTAGTCCACTTAGTGGCAAGAAAGAAGGTACTGGAATGTATTTTGGATCTGACTTTTCCAAACAGCCTTCATTAAGGATTTGAAGAAACGTAGAGAAGACTCTGGTCTGGTATAGTTTTCTATCCCTAATTATTTAGGTAGTAAAGCCTCTGTTTAGAAGGAAAAGCAGAAAGCAGGACTGGGATAGTCTAGCTGGCTGATAGGTTGTTTTGGTTTTTTGTTGTGTTTTTGCTGGTTTTTTTGTTTTTTTTAAAAAGCCTAGAAGACCCTTTGTCTTTGAGGGGAAAAGGCTATATAACTTATAAATATTTTAGTTATTATTTTTGCTGTGCTGGTATACAGTCTTGCAGAATCTGTGTGATTGCCTTACCTTTATCTTACTGCTGGTGAACTCAAGTAAGGAGAAGTGGTGTTGACTGCTGTAGAACTGATGGTGTATTTAAAGAATAGCATAAAGAATAGCTTAACTGCATACTTTTTTTGTTGGACTAGATCCAGGTGCAGCATGCTGCCTTTGTCATGTCACTTGTAAAAGGGAAATAATATTTCCCTCCCCTTTGAAGCTTACAGGAGGCTAACTTGTAAGTTTTGACATGTATCCAGGTGGCTTTTTTGGTGAACGGTGCTATTTAAACACCAAGGCTTTCGAATACAGGTGTAGCAATAAAGCCCTCTGTGACTCTTCCCTGGTCTAAGACTGCCCTCTCTTGGACATTATCAGTTGCTGCACTGGTCGCAGAGGGACCCTTGCATCTGTGCTTTGTAACTGACCCTTGCTTTTACATATTTTTAAAAATGTTGGTCGTCGTTTGAACTTGAAAGTTTCAAAATTATTCAAGACACTCGCTGCTGTGTTCCCCTTGGGCAGACAAATCTCGTCTAGGTTAATTTTTTTTCTTCCCATTAACCTCATTCCTGTAGAAACGTGGGAGGCTGATGGATGACTAGAGATAAAACAACTTTTCAAAACATTTGCATAAATCTAGCAAGGGTGGAGTTCCAAGTTGCCAAAAGGACATAGATGACCAAACCTTGCCGAATTTTTGGAGGTATTTCAAAACCATAAGAAATCTTGCCCTGTGCTACTATGCAGCGTCGTAAATCTCCTAGATGATTATATATGACTTTGAATCTTATTCTACTTAAATTTTTCAAGTTACATCTTCTTAGTAATCTGACCAGGGCAACAAGAAGGTATATGAACTAAAAGTTGTCTTTGGCTAAAATAATGCTGAAACGTTTGTTTAGATTTAACTTGACTAGCAAGTTAGGCTGGTAGACCTGTTTTTACAGCTTCATTCTGGTGCCTAGAACAGAAGATGTTTATTTTATTTATCTGTCAAGGTTAAAAAAATTCTCCCAGGCGATTTAAGGTGACACAAACTTGGTGTGGTTGGTTTGCAGAAAACTCTCCTATCTTGCTGTTAAAGAATCTCTTGATAGATTTTTGGTGAGTAATTTATTGTTTGTTTTATGGAGAAAACTTATTTGAACATTTCTGCTGGCCTAGGAGCTTATCCATTTTATTTTACTACAATGTTCCTATGGAGTATGATTTTATTTATTCTTTTTCCCCCACTTCAGGCGGTATCTTGAGCCCAGAGGAGATATTCTTACCCTGATCAGTGTTCCATTTTGGCCAAGCCAAATATGCCCTTGACACCGAGAGTAAACCAACAAGTGGTAGATAATAAGACTTGCAGAAGAGAGACAATCCAGAGCCGTGCTGTAGGCAGCTGGGTAAGACTATCACAGCTTAAATTGTTTCTGCTTAACTTATTTTCAGGGATACCCTCTCAGTGTTAGCCCACCTATCACTGGATTGAGAAGTGAGGAGGGCCAAATTACTTCTTATCTCGTCTGGGGTCATGTTATTTGTCACTTCTTAATAGAATACTGGAAACTTAAGATCGCCTGAGCATGATCTTGTGTCAATGTCTAGGGTGGACAAGAATTCAGACAAGCCTTTGGCTGTCATGTATTCCCAACAGCATTCTTCAGCTCACTGAATTGGTATCTGTTGTCAGTTCTGCTACAGCAGTTCCAATGGAGAAAATGCTTTTGCTTTTCAAAGGAGAACAAGGGAAATAATTGATCAACTCTTGTTGGCTCACCAAAGTTGTAGCATCCTTCAAAGATGTCTAACTAAAAGAAGGATATTCTGAATTTCTGTCTCTGACAAGACTAGCTTTTCAAGGGTAAAATAAGTTATCTTCTGTGTTCCTCCTGTGCAATGAACAATCTTTCT